GTATTATTATTTATAGTCTGAGGGTCAGCTGACTGGGAATTAGGTTATCTAGACTGGGTTTAGTTTAGGCATTTCTGCTCTTTGAACCAGTGAGCTTACTAATCTGGGCAATGATAAAATGCATGAGAGCAGATGGAAACATGTAAAGTTTCTTAAGGCCTAGGCCAGTATCATTTCAGTCTCGTACTGTTGGCCACAGAAAGCCATGTGGCCAATCAGACTTAGGGTCAAGCTGTTGAGAAGTACACTTGTCTCATGGAAGTGTAGGAGAGTGAGCCACTGGCAAAGGCTCTTCAAAAAGCCAAATAGTTTAATTTCCACCATGTAAGTCATGCTCCTGGCTAACTTTGAATAGGCCTTTCTATTTGCAAAGAAAATTAAATGCCACAAAGAACTTTTACATGTTATTTCAGAAATGTTTATTAATATAAACAGAGATTATCATCCCTAAATTAATGGTAAGAGACATGAAATAGCAATCCCCAGTTAACAATCTCAAGGTAATAATAGATAGGAATGGTTTTCCCCTGATTTAATATAGAATAAATTCTGCAGCAATGGTAAATGGTCAAGAGCCATTGTATGTCCTTGATACAGAATGTAGTACTTTGTCTTCTGTTTCAAGGGCAAGGAGATCAGAAGAATGGCTTCTACATATTTCACTTTCTTTTTCCAGAGTCTGGACTCTAGACTCACCAAGAAATCACAGATTTCCTTCTTTGGCATCAGATGGTTGGAAAGCTGATTCTTTTGGTTGCTTCTACATCTTCCTCTCATTCTCAAAGGCTAGAAGATTGGAATTGATTGCTACTTTGCCTTTTAACATAACTTTGAAAGCATTTGTCAACTAATATTTGGAAGTCGTTAGAAAATGCTTCAGTTGATAGAGCTTCTAGTTTCACTATGATTTGGTTTGGGTATGTGGCAGTTACTATTAGTTTCCTACCAGGCAGCCATTCCTGCCCTTCTTCCATTCTAAAATAGCCTCACATTTGTTCAGAAACAGACAGCTATATTTTTTGAAAGAAACTGATTTCTTCCCAACCTTAGATAGGTGGATCTCCATTTCTTTCTTTCTTTTTTTTAAAATGTATTTTATTGATTTTTTTACAGAGAGGAAGAGAGAGGGACAGAGAGGGATAGATGAGAGAGAATCATCTATCAGCTGCCTCTTGCACACCCCCTCATAGGGATGTGCCCGCAACCAAGGTACATGCCTTTGACCGGAATCGAACCCGGAACTTTTCAGTTCGCAGGCCGATGCTCTATCCACTGAGCCAAACTGGTTTTGGCTGGATCTCAATTTCTTTAAATCAGTCATGGTAGTTCTATTCTCCTTGCATAATTGGTTTAAAAATTGCCAATTAAATAGAAATGGAAGTTTACTGGGAAGCTACTGGGAAAAATTTCCTCACTTTAAAAGAAATGTGCTTAGAAAGACAATTGTGTGAGGAGGTAAGACCTGCAGCTGCTTGCAGCCATTTTGGTACTAAAAGGACATGCTTAAGGACAAAGCCAATGCTCTGAGAACAGCAGAGCAGAAATTGGAAAGGGTTTAGTTACATTAATAAAGTTATCGCCGAGCTACTGAATTAATCAGCCCTAAAAACACCTTATTTTAAGTCTAGTCTTTTTATGTGAGATATTGCATTTATGTAGATATTGCATTTATGTATTGTTAAATTATTTTTTTCTTGTTCTTTGCTGCAGAAAGTACCCTAATCAATTGAAAGTAGGATCCTGTAGAGAGATGAATCTACATCTTGCCCTGCCTTTACCCTCAAAGAGGCAATAAATAAGGTGATCAGGAGCATAGACTTTGAAGTGTACCAGACTTATATTTAAATCCTAGCTCTTATCTTTTATTAGTTTATTAATCTTGGAGAAGTTATTTAACCTCCCTAAACATCCTTTGTTTTTTCATCTGTGAAATGGGAGATATTAGCTATTTTACAGGATTATTAGGATTTAGTAAGATAATGCATTCACAGCCTTTACACAGAACCTGTCACAACAACTAGTGCTCAATAAACTCTTCTTATCCTATATAATAAAAGGCTAACATGCAAATTGGCTGAATGGCGGAATGGCCGTTAGCCAAGATGCACACTGACCACCACGGAGCAGATGCTCAATGCAGGAGCTGTCCCCTGGAGGTCAGTGCACTCTTACAGGAGGAGTGCTGCTCAGCCAGAAGCTTGGCTCACAGCTGCTGATAGTTAGACATCCCCCAAGGGGTCCCAGAGTGAGAGAAGGCCCAGGCCGGGTTGAGGGACTCCCCCCCCCCCCCATTGCACAAATGTCATGCACCAGGCCTCTAGTAACGTTTGCAAATTCAGATTAATACCACTGCCCACACCATTTTCACATTCAACAAGTATTGATTAGGCACATAGTTTGTAGGCTAAGTGTGGAGAACAGCTTATTTCCCTCCTCTTGAGACAGGAATCTAAGCTGTAAGAGGAGTTATAATTTTGGGAAATGGACTACCTTTTAATTCTTCTACCCTGAATTTTGAGAAAATGCTTCATAGGGCTCTGGTTTCACTCCCCTAGCAAATTACCCTCCTGTGCCATAGCCAGTTGTTTTATTTGGCCAAGTAGTGTCCATGGCCTCTGTGTTCCTGGACTTTTAAATTGAGCTGAGTCACCATTTCCAGCCAGTATTTAAGACAGATGCTGGTGATTATTCCAGAACATTACTTAGAATGCTTCTCTTTACCTCTCTCAGGTAAATCTCTTTTACCGGTACTTTAGAAGCAGGTTATCTATGCCCTTTAAAGAACAGCCATGAAGGCATTGTTGTCTTTTACTTTCAATACGGTAATCTTGTGTGTTCTTCATAACACCTTTGGATGTCCATCACAGTGTTACTTCTAGATGCCCTGCCCTCCCCTCAAAACATCAACATACTCCTACCCTGCTCTTCCTCCTGGTATGCCTCAGCAAAGAACAAATCATTTTATAGTTGTAGTAGGAGGTAAAAAGCTCAGAAAGCTCTGTTCTAGAGAAGCTGCTGTGAGATTGCTTTGGAAATAGAATGTCAGATCATCTTTCAGCCCAGTGGAAGCACACCGAAATGTATTGGGATACATTACCTTGGACAATTTGGTCTCAATCAGGAATAAGAAAGAGAAAGTCTGATTCTTCATGTGTTGAAATAAAGTTGAGAGCTTCCATAGAAGTTATGGGGAAACTGAAGAATTATATAGGAGAAATAACCTCCTATATGTGAGATGCCTCTGATGCAGAGGGCATCTTGAAGTAATATGCAACTCTTGATGACACCTCTTCAACACTTAGTAAATCTGACCTTTCCTTTCATCTGTCATTTTGCTGAATCATATGGCCCAGCAAGCAGCTAACACATTGCAACCAAACTTCACAATTCAGGCTGGAAACATGTGCTCCTTCAAATTGATTAGTGATATTACCAGTGTTTAAACCCATTTCCTGTCACCTTGGAAATGGAGGTTACTTAGCAGGAAGTCATTCTGCTGTCATCCAGCAGGGCTGCCAATGCAATTCTTTAAACTTGTTGGTGAATAGAGAGGCAAGCCTCCTTTACTCTGGTCTAAAGCTTTTGCACATGTTGAGTAATGCAAGCATTTAGCCTATCATGGAAGCACCTAGATTTGATACTAATGGAATGTGCATTAAGGAAAGGATTTCTAAGTTCTCAAAGGTTTTGGCAAATGCTGACATGGAAACTGTTTTTGTTAAAAATGAGCTTATTTTGTGTTTAAAGGGTCATTTTGCATTAACTGTGACTTCAAGTCGATTTTGAAAAATCACCTCTTAGAGGAGTGGGCAAATAGAAGTCCCAAGAGGCAGCACATTTCCTCTAATAAATTCAAGCAACTTTTTCTTTGTATTGAAGATATTATTTGTCATACATTTTCCTTGTCATACTGAGCATTCCCAGACCATCATTTAAAACAGATTGGTAATTTGGCCCTTAATTTTGGCACCTGTACATCTTTTAAAGCTCTGGTCTGTGTTTGGAGACTTAACTACTCTGTAAGTTAATACCCTTTTAGGGCCTAAACACCACCATTAGCAGCAAATTGGCCTCTCAGGATGCTGGATAGAACCATTTTTTATATTTATTTGTTTAATCTTTATTAGCCAAAGGTTGTCTAACAGCTCAGAGGGAGTGAATTGCCCATGAGGCTTTGAGGCATGTTTAAATATTTCCTTATAACATCAAGGTTAGGAGAGGGTTTGATCATTGAAAGTACTTTGGACTGCTTATGATTCCAACCTCCATTTCTAGGCAGTCTTGAAAACACAGTCATGAGCTGCTCACATTCTCTGGTTTGTAGACCTAGTAAGTCCTAGATTTCCATATCTGAAGTTGTCCACAGAGATCATTTGGTCAAAATTACTTATTTTACAGGTAAGAAACTAAAGTCAAAAGATGAATTTTAAGTTATTTGTCTTTTTTTCTTTTTAAATTTTTACTTTTTTGCCTTTTTTTCTTTTTAAATTTTTACTTTTCAGTTGCAGTTGACAAACATATTAGTTTTAGGAATACAACATAGTAATCAGATATTTATTATTATATTAGTTTCAGGTGTACAACATAGTAATCAGATATTTATATAGCTTACAAAGTGATCACCCCAATAAGTTTAGTACCCATTTGGTACCATACATAGTTATTACTATATTATGGACAATTATTACTATATTATGGACAGCATATTCCCTATGCTGTACTTTACATCTGAGGGAATACTGGTGTTGATGGAAATGTTTTGTCTTTATGGTATCAGTATCAATATCATGGTTGTGATATCATACTGCAGTTTTGCAAGATGTTAGCATTGGGGGATATTATAAGAGAAATCTTCAAATACAAAACCTTTAAGAACCAAGGAAAAAGGTTCCTATTGATGGAGTTTTATGAGCTTTCAGGTGGTAGAAGACTATTCCAGAATAGAGAAGCTCTTTAAGTAGGTACCTATTCCTTCTCTCCTCACCCCCACCCCCTGCCACCTCCTTATTACTACTAACCTCTCTACTAGGGAGTAGAACTGTTTAAAATGAAAGGGGCTTCATTCTGTGTAATATCTGAGTATATTTATTTTAGGACAACACCTAGGTATAGTGCCTGATATGAAGTAGGTGCCTAAAAATGTGTATTAAAAGCATATATCAAAATGGATTTAAAGATTCTGATCTAATGAAAAGTAACATTCTATAGAGGGAAGAGCATCTTTCTTAAGAGTTCAGGTTTCCAGCACTAATAGTAGCTCATCAGATAACTGTTGAGTGGTTGATATTCTGAAATTGTGCAATTAATTTTTATCCTCCTGAGAGGTTTTTTTTTTTTTTTTGTCTATTCTGAAGTATTTGGCTAAACTTTTGCTGATTCTTAGCTGGTAGGGGTTGAGATGAGAAAGGAATTCTAGGCTTTAGAGTTTGATGGCTTCTTGAAGGTCATCTGGGCCAATAATACTATCTAAGCCTTGCTTGATTTCCCTTTGCAATAAACCTGCCAAATTATTAAACAGGTTTTGCCTAAAACTGTTGTATGGTAGGGCAGCTCCTCTTACCATGAGGTGAATAGACTTAGAAAGGTATGCCTTTAAAAATAAGTTCTTATTTTTTGCAATAACCAGCATCCATTAAAATTTCTACTTATTGGTGGTAGCTCTGATCTCTGTAATCATAGGAGTCAAGTCTAATTCTTCTTCCAAAACACGGCAATTCATGAGTCTGACCCCCTTCCCTCCAAGCTTGGAGGTAATAGTGTTAACATTATTCCTGCTTCTAAGGAAAGATGCAGTTCTTAAATTGGCTGATTCCATAATAATTTTTCTTCCCAAGTAAGTCTTATTTACTTTTTGTAAAATTTTTTGCTTAAAGATTTTCAAAGAAGTAGTTAATAAGCACATTTAGTTTCCTTCCTAGTCTTTTATATTTCTAAAATGATGATGGTTTTAAGTTTTTATTTGTGACTTTCAATTGTAGACACATTCCATTTGATGTCTCCTTAAGCAGAAAAGATATCATTCCTCCAAGAATTTCACTGAGTTTTGGATGATATTTTTATGGGAAAAAATCTTCACAAGAAAGGATTGTAAAGGTCTGCCATTAATAATTGTTCTTTGGGTAATTCCATTTTTCAGCACAAGATAAGTGAATATATAGATAATAATAGAGCACATCACTCCTTTGCTCTAAATGTTGTCTAATGTTAGTGCTACTCACAGTGTAACCTACAAATGGGCTGCATGAATATAACTTAGGAACTTATTGGAAATGAATTCCCAAGTTCCATTCAAACCTATTGAATCAGAATCTCTGGTCCCAAAAATCTGTGTTCTAATAATTTTTCAGGGGAATCTCATGCACACGAAAGTTTGAAATGCATGGGTGTAAATGTCATAGACTTATATTCAACATCTACTGAAATGCCCTAACAACCTTTCTTTTCCCCCCCTTTATCTACTATTAAGCTTTGTCCAAATTTAAATACTTGATATTCTATCATAGTTTTCTACTAAGTCTACTCCCACTATTCACTCCACTATGAATGTCCTTACTGCCTTTTTCCTTTAAGATCAAGGTAAAATGTGGCCTCTTCTAAAAAGACACAAAGTCATCACCTGTAAGTGGCTCCTCCTTTTTCTAAAACTGTCATAGTAATATACAGCTCTCTGCATGATACATTCTTTTCTAAATTAGAGTTGTTAATTAACTTATCTTTTTCTCCAAACTTCTATCTACTTCCTTATTCCATCTTGACCATAATTCTTTTTTAAAAAAATCCTCATCCAAGGATATGTTTATTGATTTTTGAGAGAGAGAGAGAGATAAGTTGCCCCCTCCACACACACACACACACACACACACACACACACACACACACACACTCATACACACTCTGATTGAGGATCAAACCCACAACCTTTTGATGCACAGAATGATGTTCCAACCAACTGAACCACCCAGCTAAAGCCATAAATTCTTAAAAAGAGCACTCTCCCTTTAACTTTTCCATAAGCGAGTAGTAAGGGATCAGGAAATGTTTGTTGAGCAAATGAAATAATCTGCTATCAGAGGCAAAGCAACATACTCAGAATTTAGAGATCTGGGTTCTGGTGTATCTCTGCCATTAGTAAATTTGATTTTTTTGGACAAGTCTCTTCATCTCTTAGGAAGTCAGTATTCTCATCAGTAAAGTAAAAGGGTTAGACTAACTGATTATTTCTGAAACAATTGTTTGTAGATGAATACCAGTCTATGATGAAGTTTTCAACAACTAAGGATGAAATTAGAAAATAAGAACAATGTGGTGAATTTTTAATGATGCTAAATTTATCTAATGTTTAAGTTCCAAGTTAATCTTCCCACATTTTTGTTATTAAAATTTTTATAACATTATGAAATGGTGCTGACAATTGATGAAAGTTCCTTTTAAAATGTATTTTGCTAAAGCAAATGACTGAGAAAATGAGCAACCCTAGTTTGATACTCTCAATATTTATTTTTTTGGAAATGTTGCTGGTCTATGAAATCTATAAGTATGTGAATCATTGGCTTAGATGTTCTCCTCCCAGAGTTAACATGCTATACTCTGTCAAATGTAGTTGGTTCGGTGTGGACACAAAACCCCTTTAGAAAATCCAGATGACACAGGAACTGAAGTTTGGAATTCTGCATGAGACTGGCTGCTTATTTGGGGTCCACTACTGAATCAGTACTTCAGGATGGTGGTAAACTCATGTGGTTGCCAATAACCCTGCTCTGGGGGGAGAATGAAAGTTGGAGCTTGTGCTGGGTCTTCTTTCAAGATCCTTCAGAAGAGCTCTCAAAGCTTTTGCACTGAGTAACTGCATAATTGAACCAAAATGGAGATTTTCATAATTACCCCCAACTCTCAAAAAGTTTTTGGTTCACATTTGAGAGGGCAATAGGAACTTTCAGGTATAAGTTAAGGAAGTGATGTCGTTAATAGTAAATGGCAGTTCCTTTAAAATGATGCATGTTTTCAGATATAGGATTTAATTCTATTCCAATAATAAAAGGACTATATAAGAAAACTTACCAACTGTTCTTTTTAAATTGAATTTATTGGGGTGGCATTGGCTAAAAAATTATATAGGTTTAAGGAATACAGTCCTATAATACATTATCTGCATATTATATTATGTATTCATCACCCCAAGTCAAGTCTTCTTCCATCACCATTTATCCCTCCTTTACTCTCTTCTACCTCCTCTACTGCCCCCTCCCTCTGGGAAATTGCTGTCAAACTGCTCTTGATGTTGCTTCCTTCTATTTCCATTTCAGTCCTCATATCCATTCCACCCTCAAGCACTGAGTCTGACTGTATTAGTATTAAAGCAAACTGACTCAAGAGGCTTTCTGTATATAATTTTACAGTAGCATATCTCTCGATTATTAACATATTAAGGCAATATACTTCTAACTTAGAAATTTAATACTAATTGGCTTTGGGATATTTGATTTAAAAAACATTTTTCAAATGGAGCTGTGAATTGTTCAGTTTCTTTATTCAGGACTAAAGAAAACATTAATTCTGCCAGAAAAACTTGGTTGAGCAGGGCAGAAATATTAGAGTCTTGGGGTTTACCTGTCAATCTTGTATTTTCATGTCCTTTGCCTAGAAACAAGTCTATAAGCTAATTGACTTCTGTTCTTTTCCTCTTGGCCTCTCATTTTTCTGAACATGGAGACTCAAATTAAAACAAAGATAAAATTCCAGGGGAAGCTGGCATTGATCAAGTTTTGGATTAAATTAAATTAAGTGCTTTTTATTGAACTCAGCAGTATTAGTTATTAAAACCAGAAGGCTTTTACCCTGGCTAGTGTAAAAAAATAAAACAATGACTCATACTGGAGCACAGATTTTTTTAGGAAATTAAAGCACTCATTTTCTCTTATTCCATTAAAATTTTTGCAGACAAACACATGTAAACAAGATCAGGGAACAGAAAGCAGTGAAGTGTCAGTCTTTCTGGGCTCTGGTGCTTCGTGGGTTCTAGCTTTCAGTTGTAGGAACTCAGGGGAAATATTTTATATGGAAAGAAAACAGGAAAGCATACATAGTAGGATTTTCTTTTTTGGAGGGCATGTTAGACAAGTTGCTAAAGTGCTCTTTTTTTTTTCTTTTCTTTTTTTTTCCCTATACTGACTTGGAATTATGTACATAAGTGAAAGGGAGAGGACAGCAGCATAGTGTAGCATACAGAGAATTAGCCAGAAAGTTATATCCCCAAGACCCAGCTTTAAATTTATCAGATATAGACTGGTTGGCCTTGGGTAAGACAACCTCTCTGCTCCTGTTTGCTCAGCTGTAAAATAAGGGGCTAGAGTGGATAGTCTCTAAAGACCTTGCTCTCATTCTGTCATATATATCTATGTTTTGTTTAGTGCTGTGGGAGACCACCATGGTCTGTAGTGAATATTACAATTAACCCAGATTGGCGCGGGCTAAATCTGTTGTTCCATCTATTATTCTTATTTTTTTAAAAAGCTCACACTTTATTCAGATTTTCTTAGTTTTTATAAATGTTCTTTTTGTTTTTGTTTTTCTTGTTCAGGATCATTATCCAGGATACCATATTACACCTGGTTGTCACACATTTGTTAGGCTTCAGTTGATTGTGACAGTTCTCAAACTTCCTGTGTTTTTGATGACTTTGATAGTTTTGAGGAATATTGGTCAGATATTTTTTAGAATGTCTCTTTCTTGAGGTTTGCCTATTGTTTTTCTATGATTAGACGGGGCCTACAGGTTTGGGGAAGAAAAACCTGTAATAACTCTGCCACAGAGATGAAGTGCCATTCTCATTGCATCATATCAAGGGTATGTATTGTCAACATGACTTATAACTGTTGATGTCAACCTGGTTGAAGTAGTATTTGTCAGATTTCTCCACTATAAAGTTAATCCTTTCCTCCACTTTCCATACAGTACTTTTGGGAAGTAAGTTCTTATGCATAGCCCACACTTAAGGAGTGGGAAGATTCACATCC